GCGCCGGGAGGCGGCAAGGATGTAATTAGATTTTTTTCTGACCTGGACAGCGTCCGCACGCAGCGCCGGACGCTTGCGTAAAACATTTGATCTCGCACCTAATTTCATCTGATCATTAGTAATAAAAAAGAAGAGTGAAACGACGAAATTTTTATTAATAATTTGGTCTAGACTTTCATCTGCGTCAAATTTTAAATTAGTTAACCATTATGAAAATGTGTTAATAATATTGCTTGCATCAATTTGTCGATTGCTCGCCGACAGCATAATTGATTGAATTTTTTCAATTATTGGGATGAAGTAGAGATGAAATACCCATTAGCATCCCAACGGAACAATAATGTTATCACAGATCAATATTATTTAATCGATAATTTAGATTAACGGACCAGCTGCACAAGCCGGTTCCTCATCCAACGACCGTTTTCCAAGCGACTTCTTTTCATACGAGCTTGCCTCCCACGTCGATCCGGAAGCGGCCTGATTAAGACAAGCTCTGATGGTGGACCAAGATAAATCCTCATGCATTAATATTATGCCAAGTCATTTTCATTAGTGATAGGCCTAGAGAACAATTTATTTCTCGTTAGTCCATAGGATATACCGCCGATCTAATCAAGGCACATCCGGACCATACAATAGAAATAGCACGCGGACGAGGGTGGCTTTAGCGATGTTTGTGATACGACCAACGCGTTCAGATGTGATGCACAATCATTATTCATTTACTACAGTGAGCAACAGAAGTCAATGGCTTAATATGATGGACCTTCGTCCATTAAGCTCACCGACAGTGATGGTGAACTCACGGTCGGCTCATCAAAATGTTTTTCAACATAGCTGCTACATTTTGCACGGTCGACCATGAGCCGAAATGTTTACATTTTGCACATCATTGGCGCATGATGACGCATGAATCATCAAACATTTGTACATCAGAAAACTATTCTAACTAACTTTCGTTATATCGCCTCTGCTGTCTTCGGTAATGACAAGGGAATTATAGGCTATCCTTCAAATAACAGAATGTCTGTCACTGGATCACAGTATAAAAGGACAATCCAAGAGCGAGATATTTAGGATTGAAAATGAATAAAGAGAATCATCGACTTCAGAAACGCCTTCATTGTTGAGGAACGCATAAGATTAGCCCAATCTCTAAATAAATTCAATAAATAGTTTTGAATCTAATTGAATGAGACCATGAGAATCAATTGAAGATTAGCCCAATCTCTAAATAAATTGTATAAATAGTTTTGAATTTAATTGAATGAGACAATGAGAATCAATTGAAACCATTGAATGAGCCTAATAGAATGTGAATCAAGTCATCATATCTTATACTTACAAAATGAAAAATTACTTCTTGTTGAGTTAATTCAGTCAATGTCTTGTTATTTTTACGCAATATTCTCATTCTATAGTGGGCAAAAATGGCTGTGGATATAGACACTCCGGAATAGGACATCGGAAAGACGAGTTTTTTGCAAGGGGTCAACGAAGATAAATGGCGCTGAAGGTAAGTAAGGTTATATATCCAGGCTGCAGGGCCGGCAACATGGAGGGTGTGGTCCAACATAACATGTGTTGCACCAGCTGCTTTGGTCATAACCATGCATGATGTTGCTCGCGACCTATGCTATCTCGAGCCTTTCATTATGCCTAGCACGGCCGTGTAGGCAAGATACGGCAAACTTTATCGATTGTTAGGGGAATATGATTGGACAGCCAGCGAGTAGGATTGGGAGGGATGGAGGATTGTTAGGAGAAACTGCTACACGATTGGCGCGACAGATAATAAAATTAAAATAATCAAATAAATATACATTTCCTTATACTTTAATATTAGATGACAAAATTTGCTTGTTTAAACAAGGGCGGTTGATGAATGACCAGCGAAAACATTGATTTACATTTTCAGGGTCGAAAAATAGTTCAAAATTCAGGTCGAAGAATTGTTCAACAATTCAGAAAATTGTTAAATAAAAATTAAAATTGTTACCATGAAAATTTAAATCAACATCTCCCAATACCGTGCACAAAGAAATACTTGAGAGGTTGAAGCAGAGTATTGAAATAATTTTAAGACAAATAATTGATAACTCATAGAGGTAAAAACATTGCGGGTATAATAGAAAATGAGTTTGAAGGATATAGATTGTGAGAAGTAATTAATAATCATATTAGATATTTGACAATTGTATAGAAATTTCTTCCACAAATTGAAATTTCTTCCACACAACAACAAATAAGCAATGAAGAGTAACAAGCTCTAAGAAAAGCGCGATATCTACGAGCTCCTCAGCCGAGAATGCGTAAAGATTTCATTTTTAAACGCTGGTCAACTAGGATCGCTCCATGAATTTAGTCGCGCCATGTTTCATCTCCGCTAAAGGAATGGAATTATCGCGCAAGTATCTGCACTACAGACGAGGCCTCGACCGCCACGATGGCACGCGCCTGGCGACGTTCTTGGCGGCACAGACGTTAAGTAAAGACGTTTTTGTGCTGCAAAAAAATGCTAAAACAGACGATGTTATGCTGCCAAAAATGTCAGGTACAGACGATGTTACGCTGCAAAAAATGTCAGCTACAGACGATGTTATGCTGCCAAAAACGCCAGGTACAGACGATGTTATGCTGCCAAAAACGTCATGTACAGACGATGTTATACTGTCAAAAACGCCAGATACAGACGATGTTATGCTGCCAAAAACGCCAGGTACAGACGATGTTATGCTGCCGAAAACGTCAGGTGCAGACAAGGTTGTGTGGCAAAAGTCCACCACCTGTTACGCCGAGATGTTGAGTAAAGTCATCCTTGCGTCGCCTGCGACGTAAACAACATTTTGGTAACAATATGCACGCGATAGTTTCTTGAACCATGTCCAAGTCATAACACACGAGAAAACTTGTAAACAAACGTCGTAGACCTTACTTACTATGATGGCAAAGTGAAGGCCTTTTAAAATTTAGATTCAATCTTCTGCGAAAGAAAAATATTTTTCAGGCGAGCTGCACCCACCAGCACCAAAACATTGCATGAAGACCACAAAAGAATAGACCTATTTGCAATCAAACTCTGGACCGTTTTGGTTGTACTAAATCTTGGTCGCATAAACAAATTTTATAAGTGGACTGAATAGGATTATTAGAGGAGAAATTATAAAAGGAGTATGCCAGTAATTTTGGCTGTTCTGCATTTGGAATATAGATGAAGGCGTTCGCCAGAAATGCTGACTTTTGAGCGTAGGCGTTTGCATGTAATGCTGACTGTTGCGTTTAATAGAGGCGAATGACTGTGCTGAGTGTGATTGAAACCGCTCACGTGAATGCTGACTCAACAGCGTGTAAATGCAAGCTTTGGCAGCAAGGCTGACATTGCTGCATGTAGTTGGAGACATTAAGGATAATGCTAACTCTGTTTGGGTCTAGTTAAAACCGTTGACGGAAATTCTAACCGCGTTATGTCTAAATGACGTCTACAGTAATGCTGATAGCACTCCGTGTAGATGAATTCGTCTGCCGATAATGCTCACCGTGGAAGATGTATAACATGCTGGCGTTTACTGTTAGTTCTGTCAGTGTTACGAGCACATTTAAACGTTCGTCGCTTCTGCTGACAATGCTGCGAGAATATGACAGCGTTTGCCGATAACGCTGACAGAGTTGAGTACCGGTATATATATTGCCATGATTCCATGCGTCAAGAGAGCAGCACGACTGTGCATCATCATGCGAGAGCACAGCATAAAACTGACCCTGCGGATCTTAGATTTTGTACCAGACATTGCAGTTAAACCTCTACCGATGATAACAGAGAATCGTAAATAACATAAAGATTATTACACGCTATTTCGTGCTTGAACTAATACACTTTGGCTTTTAATTCCTTTATTGAAGTTTGATGTTGGGCGTAAATTGCCGAGGATGCGCCGAAAGACCTGGGCTTTTGGATTTTTTTTTTTGATGAATATAGCAACACCACCACGAACCCAGGTCGTGAAATACGAGAAGGCAATATGTTGAGTTATAGTTGATAACAAAGGATTAGGTAAGACACGCAACTATTGATGCGTGCATTAGGAGTGTTTTCCCCTAGAGCAGTGGTTTCCAAACTTTTTCAGGCTGGCGCCCCCTTTGGCTCCCTAGTGAATTTCTAGTGCCCCCCACAGACACATATAAAATCATGCGCCTCTTTCTATAAAATTTATTACGCTGCAATTTTAAAAGATAAAGGTTAAACACAAATGCGTATTTCACAAATAGAACCCCTTTTAGTGAACCAATGTATTTTTCAGCCGTTTTAACTGTTTCAGCACTAAAAACCTAGGACGTCTCGGGCACATTTATGGCCGGACTCGTGGCCGGTCTCACGACCAATCTCCAAATTCAATTATCAAGTAATATCACCCAAACTAATGAACGTAGCTCAATGAAACTTGGAACATGTATTCATCAGAACTTGACGGTGATGTTTAGCTTGCGAAAAATTTTTAAATATCACCTTCATTCTTCCCTTGCAGACAATATCGTTTTATTAATGATTAAGTTACCTACTCTGGATTTATTAGGGCATATAAATAATATGTTTAGTAGGTATCATATTAAATTCTAGTGATAACATTTCTTAAACTTTTATAATTCAGGAACCGCAGGTAAACAAAGGTACTGAATCCTGATAAACCTAAAACAAGGACCTACAGAGTATGTACAGCGAACATATGACTGAAATATAGTACGAGTGTACGAGTGAGGTACGACTCGCACAACGCACTCTCGCTTCATAGAAGCAGTACCGTAATATACATATTTAATTTTGCAAATAGTTTTTTCGGTTCATTCTTTTCGTTTATATATAAAGAATTTAATATAGTACAAGCATGTAACGGAAATTAATTCATAGCGGCACTTAATGGTAAAACGTAAACAACGCGATTGAACCTAACCAGAAACTTAATGCCAGTTAATAACATGCTCGACTGCAATGAGACACTCACCAAGGCTCGCCGAGAGTTGCACCAAACTTCAATATTTCCTGCTTTAGATTTCAGAACAAACCAATCACATGATCAGCTGCAGTTTCTATAAACACAATCCTGATCAGGACATAAAATTCACAATAGGTACTGTAGCTGTGTGTAGCACAATGCACTATATATTCTATATATTATATGTTTCAAGTACTAAACAACGAAAAAAAATTGCTATGATTACTAAAAGTTTCTGAATTCGTTCACCAGAAATAATTTTTTACAATTTCAGTGACCAAGGAACCACAATTTTGAATACACGGTTTCTATATAGATACACATCCACAGCTTTTGGAATGAACCAAAGCATTCGGTATGGCGTATGAACCAATGTTTTCCTATGCCTATGTTGAAAAACTGAAAAAAAAATCGTAGGATGTCTCAATATTATTCCCCACAACTGAAGAAGTGACGTTTAACCAAATAAAAAAAAATTAAATAAAGCTAAGCAACGATATTTCCCGTAACTTCACGTGATTATCGTTGGAAATACACAGAGCATCAGATTTCATACGTTTCGATAGCCAACAGTTGGTATGCGAATTGATCAGGAGTCAATAGCAACTTCTTGTAGCTTTGCAGAGCGCAGCAAGTAACCACTCGACAGTCAACACCTTCACTACCTCTCTCCACTGTGGCTGCAACCTTACTAGCAGAAACAGACAGTCTGAGACAGAACTCACAGAAGTCTCAGATGGACTGATGGAGAATCATGGAGTTGCCGATGCCGACTCCGATTCGGAAAGGAACAAGTGATGAGGAAAATCTGCATAGCAGAAAAAGTACGATTCTTAGTTTTTAGCAACCGTTTATTTTGGTCGTAATAAAACCCATGAAATTATCAAAACTCGCTCGTGGAAGCGACGCTATAAAAGTTATGAATGAATTTGAGACGATAAACACCTATGAAGACCATAAACAATAGCTGCGGTATCGATCCGATTTAATATTTTTAACGGGTATAATATAATATTTTTAATTGTTTGCAAGTCATACAATGAATTGTTTATGACTTGTTAATTCACTGAGTTTAACGTTTAGTAATATATATATATTGCTCTCTGCAGTGACGTTTGCAAGCACAGGATTTCGAGCTATTATGAAGGACTAAATTAAACTAGTCACGTAAGTAGCAGCTGACTACCGTAGGTGAGCTGTTATGCGAATAGAGAACGCCTCCGACGAGCATGAGAATGATGTGGTTGTCCACTCTGATTAATGAAGCAGATTTAATATCTGCAAATCTTCGATGTATCGAATCATTGCAATGGCAAAGAGAAATAAAAGTACAAATTAACGTTGTTATTCCTTGTGAATTTTCGTACTGAGCCGATTTTTAATGAGAGATCCTTTTGATGAAGATAAATCACCATTACGAAATAATACTTTAGGTTAGATATTTTATTGAATAGTATCCACCAATATCATCTATCTATGCTGATAGCTAATTATGAAGGCTTATCAAAGGTTTTTGTCGAGTAAACTATAGCTAAACTAACACTTAGTTCATAATATAGTATAGATAGAGCATAAAAATTATCTTCACAGACGAACTCGGACACCAAACATTCTTAGAAAAAATTTATAACCATGCAGAAAAGATCTTTTCCATCTGAATTGACAGCATAATTAAGGTTGACAACAAATTGAGTCTGATGAACGTTTCAGTGCTTAATTAAAATGTATAATCCGCTTTATTCTTTTAATATGGATGAAATATTATTGGGCTTTTGATTCATTCTTTAATTTTTTCCTAAAGGAAATCTTCAACCTATATTTTTTTACTATCTGTGAGATATTTGGTAAAGATCTTAGTTGGTGCGGAAAATATCTGCAAAATATCTAAACATCTTAGGGCAATTATAAATATAATCTATGCAGACAATTTTAAAAATTAATCTAAAGAATTACCACTGGCTTCGTTCATTTTTCCACCACAAGCTTGATGAACAATTTTTCTAAACTGAGGTTTGACTTGAAAAAATATCTTTTAATACAGTGACCTGAATTATTTAAAATGTTCGACAACGCAAAGACATACATTTTTATCGATTAATTTTACCCTGCATTTTAAACGTTTTAGTTCCAATTTTTTAATCCTTGATTACTTTGTTAGATATGAAATGTTTCCTTGTCATCAACTTTCATTTTATATAATTCATTCATAATAATTATATAACATAATACTTCATAATAATTATATAATTCATTCATATAATTCATAATAATTTTACGTCAAAGGAAGTAAAATGATTAAATTAATGTTTAAATTAATGACTGCATATTTCTCACGGGAAAATCATATGTAAGTTATAATATATTCTAAAATTTGAATTAATCTCAAATGAACTATTCATAATTAATCACGGACGACCGCTGAGTGCTGAATTGATCTATATGAATGTGTGGCTTCCTCGCCGCAGAACCTCTCACGGGCACACATAGAGAAATCAGTGAGATTTTGTCTAAAATAAATGCACTTTTGGCCCTTTTGTGGGTCATATTGACCGATTTCAACCCGGTATCGGTGTTACATCTCATCTCCGTGAGCTAGAAAGTGTTTCACTATTAGGGACAATGTGACCCAGTAATTCTTCTGAGTGCCACGGCACTCTTCTTGCCAGAGGCGCCCAAATTGCCACCCCGGCGAGGCAAGTCCATTGAGCAATTCATCGTGTGTGCGTCATCCATCCATCACTGTTAAAAAGGATCCACTCATGGGGCCCTGTGGTCTCTTGGCCCCACCGCGCAATGCGCACTTTAATCTTAAGACGTACATGAGCATATAACTCTTTTCCACGCACTCAAAGAAATGGGCGAGACTTTGTCCAAATAGCGATGCAAATTTGCCCTAGCGTCGGTCATCCCGACCCACTTTGGCCAGGGTGTATCTTTGCTACGTCTTCTCACTGCTCGTACGGTGAGCAAGTGAGTGTGGCACTATTTGGAAAATTTTACCCATTTATATTTCTGAGTGCATGCGGCTCTTCAGAAATGTTCAAAGCAAATTATTCTTTCTTTCTTATTTATTCTTATAGGAACACTGGAAACTAGTCCATAAAGCCCCTTGCCTAAACTGGGTTTGATTGGTACCTAACAGTCTAACAGCTCTGAAAGTGAAAATCTGGAACAAAGCAAATTATTCAAGTTCATAAGCAGTTCCACACTTGATTATTGAATCTTCTTCTTCAGTTTAATATAACTAGAAATTTCTAAACAAACTTTCGTCATAGTTAGCAAAGAGAAAAACTGGCATGTATGTTCGACATAGCGCAAAACGTAACTCGTGTTTAATCGTTAACTCTTACGTTATCATTATGCTACTATCAGATTAGGGATTCAAAGTGGACCTGAAAGGTTGACAAACCTAGTCAGCACCAACACGGGCGACGCCCTGCCCAAGACGCCCAGTCTGATTACTTGGACCAATCAGGACACACATGAGTCAAGCTTATCGAGAGCCCGACTGGAAAATGCCCACTAAAATCAGGCCGCTCTTTTGACAGCGAACTACTCAGCACAGTTCAATGCATTCTCGCTGTGAATGTGGACTACGGTGATGTTTGAATAGATCCAGCGCCTAAAAATATGTCAATATTATTCTTTTGAAAATTTCAATATTATTTTCTTGAAAAGTTTCATAGTTATTTAGTTGAAAAGTTTGAATGTTATTCAAGTTTGAATATTACTCAGTTGAATTTGTCAGGGTTATTCTGTTGAAATGTTTTATTGCGGATATTTATATCAACTTCAAGTTTTCCGAAAATATCGTAAAATAAGTTAATGCATCAAATAACATCTTATAGTTATACGCAAGCAATACGTTTAAAACTAACCCAGAGCATCACGGTTGAAATGATTGAACAATATTTATTTGAACAGAACATATATGGTGCAATCCATGAACCACCTTTTTGGTAGAAGCTAACATCTGACGATAAATTTTCTCATTCTTGGTGATTGCTCGAAAGAAACTATAGGATTCTGAGAGAAATTATTTCGCATCTCCCTTCGCTGCATTTAATTCATCCAAAACACGCAGAATAGTTACAATTTAGACTCTGTAAAGCCGATCAAATGAAAAATAAAGTTTCCAAATGTCTAAATGGAGTTGGCCTACTCAACTTGTTGAGCATTTCTTGGACAAATGAATGACGATCTAACGCCAAAAACTTCGTCTTCGACCTTCCCTTTCCGGCGCAGGCAGGAGGCAGGAGTGGCCCCAACGGCCGATAACGGCAGGTGGCTGGCAACTTCTCGCAGAACTCGTAAGTGCAACGATGATCGGGAATACAGGTACTAAGTTTGCAATTGATAATTTGAATTTTTTGTGTATGAATTGACTTAGTTAATTTGTAGGTTAATGGTCAATATGTCAAGCATTTACGTCAAGAGGGCAGTATTCAGGTTTAAAATTATTTCGAGTTATCCAAAGACCGTGCAGTACACTAGTATAAGATCATTACACATTCTGTTACGGTAAAATTCTGATGGATGTACGATGCTGTATTTGCTGTGTATCAGCAGAGGCGAATACTATCGTAAATAGTTGCGAGTTTGTTACTCAATCGGCCTATCACTGTATGTTTTTCAAGCTAAAAGAACCAATCACAGACGAGAAATCAGCCGCTACATGTACTTTTAAACCTCTTTTTCGGGTACTTTCAAGCTTAAATATTATGGCATGCATAGGACCTTCGCGTTGTGGTCGTTTTCTCGCGATCTCATGCGGTTGATGACCACCAGCAGCCAAGGTCGCTGGCCTGAGAGCATCTGTTTTATCAATGCATGTTGCTCTTAGAGACTCAAACACCAGCAAGCCTCACAGACATGCATGACAACGTCCTAATGGATGTGCTTAATTAACATGCGCATGCTCGGACACTGCTGAGGAGGGTTCCCAATCTGAGAGTATTTTACCCATTTATGATTATTTTTTTGTAATTAAGGGGTGACAAACAAATCAATGAGACATTTTTTTTAAAGGGTAGCTTGTCTATTTGTACATTTTTGTGAGAAGGGAATCACAGCTTAAGAGCAAGGGAATTCAGACGCTTTGCACACCTGACTCCATTTTCCCGTTGTAAATTTCTTCATGAAAATAAAACTGAATGAACATCAGCAATATTATGCGATATGAAGTTTCGACAATTTTTAATCGGCCTTCAAGAAACTTTTACTCATTTATAGAAATAAATGTATAACTATAGTTTTATAACCTTTGTGACTGAGCAATCCATATTTGTTGCTGTTTTAAACTCTTCCTGTCCTTTAGTCTCAGGAATGGATGCGTGCGTTGTGTGGGCGATTCTCATTGAGGTATTGAAGCTAAACTAACCCGTGATTATTCTCTCTAAACCCACTTATTTCTTCAGAACCCATCCACAAATTTGAACGGTAATTACCCTGCATGCAGGAAGCTGGCAGTTAACAAGCGTCTTCCTTCTCTGAGGGCTCTTGAGTCATATCGAGGAGCGGAGCTTACGTGTGAGCTTCATCGCTTTTCATAACTCAATACTGACATCAGGATACAGGCTATGCCGGATGCAACCCTGATACATTTATCGGCACATAATTTAACATGAAAAAGTAATTACACTTGTATAAACCCGCCAGTAGTTATAGTGTACTAA